TAGGGGGGGGGGGGGTCTTCTAAGTAAAAGGAAGTAAAATGAGTTGCATTCCTCAGAAATGTTTGACTTTGATATTTCCACTGGAAAGTGAAGGCGAACAGAGTTCAAACGAGGCTGCAAGGTGCCCTCATTAGTACCATACAAAGATGTGATGAAATTCATATCAGAACAAGAGATTGGGACCCTTCACAATATACCTCAGGCCAGGGCTGACGGTGAAACTGAGAAGGAGAGTGAAGATGTTAATCAGAATCTGTTACCACTTGTACCTGGTCATTTCATTGACTTGCAAGAACGTTTGTTACAAATGGCTAATTTGTATCTTCATATTGACAGTTACAGGCCCAATTTTCTGAGTTGGTTTGGAAAGGAAAGGGGCAATTTTTTAGTGGCAATTGGAGCAGACGGTGCTCCTTTTGGTAAAGCGAATGAAGCATGTGCTTGGCTGGTTTCATTTATAAATGTTACAGAAAGAGTGTCAAGCCGTTATGACAATTTCCTAATTTGTGGTGGTAATTGTGCTGAAACCACCCATCAATGTTAGAGTATGGCAAACTTGTAAGATCACAAATCAGTGTTTTGGAAAAGCAAACATTTACCATAAAAGGCGAACAAGTAAAATTTTCCTTTAAACTGGTGCCCTCGGATATGAAATGGCTGAGTAAATTTTCAGGTGAAATTAGCAATGCAGCTACATACCAAAACCCCTTTGCCAATGTGGATCAGAAAGGTTTGTCAGAGAGAGGTTGTACTCTGGGTACTGGTCCAGGAGATAAATGGAAACCTTGGGCCTATGATTTTAGAATGCAGGTTGCGAAAAAAGTTTGACAGTTTAAGGAAAAACAATCAAAACCAACCAATGCATCTCAAATGCAAACTTTCAGCAACAAGGTGTGCCAATTCATAGCTAAATTTAAATCCAGACAAGAGTATGAACCAATACTTGGTCCTCTTGTCCAAAATGCAAAGGCTGACAGTCTCCAGGTTGGCAACAACTGCTGGAGACATCGGTTCAAGAAGGTTTTTACCACCGTTTTAGCAAATGCAAAAGTGGGCTCAAATGTGAAGTCAGTTTTCCAGCTTCCAGAACACAACCCTTTGCGCAAACATTTAAGACCTTAAGGTTTAAATTGACGTGCAAAAAGCTGTACAACAAGATTTGTCGTTGGTTTAAGGAAAAGCGAAAATCTAGTGATTTTGAATTTAGGTTTACTGGTGAGGAGACCAAAAAATTTTGCCATGGATTCATGTTTATCATTGAAGATCTCATTGGTGATGGCTCAGATATACAGCAACCACACAATTTCTTTGCCTTGTCAATGGCAAGAATGGGCCTTCATTTAAGAAATGCCTTGTCTCTTGCTGTCAGAGTCTCAGATATTAAGACAGAAGATTTGCCTAAATTAGAAGGGGATTGCAGGATGTATTTTAATTTAGCATCTCTATTTCATTCCACCAATGTTAGTGTCTGGACAATGGGACATTGTGTACCTTTTCACTCAAAGCAGTTAATGGAAGATTTGAAAGTTGGCCTTGGGATCAATTCTATGCAGGGGAGAGAGGCAAAGCATCAGCAATTAGCATCTTTTGCAGAGTTCTCCCTTCCCAAAAATAGGTGGGAAAAAGTATTCAGACATGAGCACATGGCACTGATTTGGTTAAGGCAGCAGAATCCCTTCAGTGATGGTTACTCTAAGTGCAAAGACAAATACATTCCACCAAGGTGTTATACCAATGAATATTGTTTTTGTGGAATTGCTTTCAATAGCGATGGTAAATGTAAATATTGTGACAGTAAACTGTCAAAAGAAATTGCCACTTGTGCTTCTTCTGGAAGCCTGACTGTGAAAATGAAAGCAATTTGAGGAGTGCTGAACAAGCAAGACAGCGGCCAGGTCTGTAAACAGTGCAATTGCCAACAAAATATAGAAAGAAATAGGTCAATTTTATGGACATCTCAAAATGAGATATTATAGTAGAGATCTTTCTCCGTAACATGTTGGTCTTTAATGATTGCAAATGTAAACAATGTAACTTAAACACTTGTTTGATGTTTTTAACATTGTGTTATTCTAGCTGGCAAATTAACTTACCCTGTTAAGAAGATTGAGATAAGTTGGATATTCCCTTCTGTGGCATGTTGGTCTTTTATGATTACAAATGTAAACAATGCAATTTCAATAATTGTTTATTGTTTTTAACATTGTGATATTCTAGCTGGCAAATTAAGCCTGTTTAGAAGATTGAGATAAGTTGGAGATGTTTTTTTGAAGCATGTTGGTTTTTAAGAATAAAAAATGTCAACAATACTTATTAAACATTTGTTTGTTTTTTTTTTTTTACACTGTGTATTACTAACCTGTAAACACATTCGCCTGTCATTGTTCCGCCACTGGATGCATTGAGTGAAACAATGTATCCAGCAGCGGAGCGATGACAGGTGGCTGTATTCATTGGCTAGTGTATTTCAATAACTACAACAAAAACTTGGTTATTAACCATCACAACAGTTTCACAGTTTCAAATTCAACATATGAGAGTCTGGGAGGGGGCACTTCCTTATGTGGCCTACAGGGGGATGTGCCACTTGACAGGGTTTTATTTTATGACCTTTCCGCCATCAACAGGGTATATAATTTTAGGCAAGTCTGTCCTAAACAGGGTCTGAATCTGTCCTAAAAAGGTAAGGTTGCACAATTGTCATTGTTTAATATGGTTTGTCCTGAGCAGTTTCCTAAAAAAAACATGATGCCTAAAAAAAACATGATGGCCTACTCAGGGTAGGGTTTTAAGGCCTTATCCTAAAAGAGGGTCAGGTTTTTATACCCTCAGTGGCACCCCTATACACCAACATTGGTAAAATACCCTGCCCCCCTCCTCTCCCCTACCAGGACAAACAGTTCCCAAAAATCCTCAAATAATGTCAGATAAATTGCGGAACATTATCACTGTTCCATGCACCATAATGACAATGCACTTTGACTACTTCATTTCCATAGTTGTAAGTGATAGTGACGGGGTTCTCTCTCAATAACAATGTTTGTCTTTCCCTTTCCCGGAAATTCCCGCTTCAAAGTGGTACTCTCATTGCCCAGGCAAAAACGTAACATCTGCTGCAGCTTCGGCTTGCTTGTAATCTCAACAACCTGCTCTTTATTTGTCCGTCCAGTGTGAGTCTCTACACCAAAACATGATGTGCTCATCAGAATATCCACAATGTGTTTGAAAATATCTTCCTGAAGCCGCGAAGTAAACTCGATGATCCATGGATGAGAATGCTTGGCTGTTAGAAATTGTCTTCGCATCAATGTCTTTCTCCAGTAGCTAACTTCATTGCACGCCATGCGATGCAAGTCACACTTCTTGAATTTCAACTTTTCCCGAGTGACACTTCATCGTTTGCTCCTTAAGTACTGAAAGCTCCTTAAATAGGTCTTGCAAAGCCAGCTTCTGTGTAACATCATCTCTTGGAATACTGCTATAATATCTCAACTCGAGTTTTTCGTAAAATTTATCCACTTCTTGCGATATTTCCTTGGCTATTGCACTGTTTACAGACCTGGCCGCCATCTTGGTTTAGGGCTTCCAACCTAGTCCCCAGGGCTATCCGCATGTGGCGGCAGAAGAGCCTCGACTTCGTGATTACATCAAAATCGACCAAAAATCCCCAGTGTGCTGTATGTCCAGCCTACAAAAAGTAGGTTGTCATTTATGGAACGAAATCTCTACAATTTAGTCAATTTTAGACCATCAGGGTTCTCATTAAAAGTGTCAGCTACCAGCTAAAATAATGCCTTCTTATGATTTTTGAGCTGCCTACTTCACATGAGTCCATACATGAAAAAGTTGCAAAAAATCAGGAAAAGATAGTCCACTTTAAGTTTATGTGGCTGTCTTAATTAATACTTAAAAAAGTATTAATGAGAACCCAGAAGTCTGGTACATAAATGTGTACAATTACGGAAGCACAATTTCGACAAGTCATGTGTTTAAGGTTTTCAGCACTTTTCAGTTTGGATGTGTTTACTGTGTAATACTATCTATTAATAATTATTAATATTAACTTTAATTTATGTAAGGTTCATGTGGCTTTCATGATTCAGGTTAAATTCACCTGTCATACCCTCTTTATTTAACCCAGGCTCTAGTTATACCCTGAAAGGGGCCTTTAGGAGAATCAATTGGCTGTTCAGTTATTAAACATATTATTTACATATTAGTTATTAAACATATTATTTATTTATTGATGAAAATAGAGGCTGGAAAGACATCCAAGGAAGACGACAGGTAAATTTCCAACAAGACAAATGTAAAGTATGTTTCTTGTTTCAGTGTGGGTGACCTTGGACAGGCGCGATTTGTGATCCCTTGAGTTACTTTCACAGAAATGAAAGCAATAAATTGTAAAGATACGTCTACACATTAAGCTGCAAATAACAGTCAGTCCTTAATTCACAGAGTAATATCCGACTCAAATTTGCCCTTGCCCAACAAAATTCTACCTACTATGGTTGGACATGATGATTAGGCACATCGAATACGTCAGACATATGGTGCTAATTATACAAAAATATATCAATTTTACTCACTAGGTTTGTCCTACCAAAACGGAGACCTAGTCAGACATATGTCCTATCTGAGACGAAAAATTATATGCAGCCCTGGATTATATTTTAAGGGATCTTACAAGCAATTGATATTTATTTTTGTGCAATTTTTTGTATGTCAAATAGATTGATCAGACCTGGGACAATACTTAAACCTGCTTTGTCTTGATACTCATCAAAGCAACAAGAATGATATGAAAGCAAGGTGTTTTTCAACTTCAATTAAAGGTAGTGACACTTGATTTCCCAAAATTAGGTTGCATATCCTAATGTCAAACACAGTTAAATAAATCGATTTTATCATAACATTAAGCAAGCTTGCTTGCCCAAAAATCTTAAATTCCTATAGATCCACCATGTTGTATTTAACAAAACCCTGAATTTTTTTTATTG